GCTATCTCATTCACAGTTAGCCCAAAAAGCGTGATAAAGAGAGATTTCTAAACTCCTTATCCAGAAGCAAACTTCTCCTCCTTCCAAAAAGCTATAGTGTAAACACTTGAAGGTTTCCTTGCCTCAAGCACCACACCACGTTGAAGGATATTACTTTTGATCAAACTTATTGATTAAAAGGGGGTAGGTCAACTCTCTTACAAGTTGATCTTGCAAGTCCTATTGTTCGGATCTTGCAGTTGTTGAAGAAGCTTGACCTTCGAAGGAACAACAAAGCCAGCACGAGTGCAGTAGCAACATTGATCTTGTGAAGATATACCGTGCAGAAATTCACACAAGTGTAACTGTTGGTTCATTATTCAACAACCAACTACATAGTGGATTTTGAGGACGTAGAAGGATTACCCCACCTTCGAACCTCGTTAAAGTTTGCGTGTCTCTCTCTCTTATCTTTATTCTTACTTGCAATTATATTAACTGTGAAAACTAACCTATCCATATTAATTACTGTTCACTCCACCCACCAAATTCCGCACACAATCTAAAGTTCACAAGGACTCTAGATTAACACTCATTTTCTCGTTTTCAAAAGAAACGAAAAAGATTTTAAACTTGTAACAAAGTCTATTCACCCCCCCTCTAGACTTTGTATTTCACCACTTTGGGACCACCAAACTCTATCTGGAACGACCCCAGAATTACTCCCCATTTGGTTACTTGCGACGGGGTGTTTGGGCTTTGAATGAGGGTTCTGATTGGACTTTGAGACAAAACTTGAGGTGCGCCTGGTAATATGGCGTCGCGAAGATGGTGGTCTTCATGTTGGAATACCGCAACTTAGCTCCTTGCAACACTCTAGCCTCATAATACACGGGTAGTTGAGTGCCCTCCTCTTCGCTCACCAGCACTGAGCTCACAGCCTGAGGAGATATACCCAGATACAAGTACAAAGTGTCCCCCGAATCTGGCTTCGAAAGCACTAGTGGCGAGAGGAGGTAAGCTTTTTACCCTTCAAAAGATCGCTGACATACTTCTGTACAAATGAATCCCCTGCTCTTCTTGATGGTTTGGAAGAATGGTGCCGCTCGATCAGCTATTTTCGATAGAAATCTGTTGAGACCAGTGATCCTTCTTGTTAATTATTGGACCTGTTTCACATTCTGCAGAGGTTTCATGTCCAATATCACCTTAACTTTCTCGAGGTTGGGTTCGATACCCTCCAGCTAACACGTGCCCCAGAAACTTACATAGTATGAGTTAGGGTCCGGATCTCTAGGTACGGACTAGTTTTGTTGTATATTTTGAATGTTAAGTTAATGTTGGAATGGTTAGTCTATTGTTCTCGCCTTATTTAGTTAGTTAATCATGAAATATTTAATTAGCTATTTATTGAGAAAATATTGTATGCCAAAGGGCTATGATATTCCAGTGCAACGGATTAAGTACAAATCTAGAAATGGATGAGTAATAATAGAAATATTATTATTCCAACGGTTAATTAAATATGATAAAATAAATCCAAATGATGCCGAGACCTTAGATCCAAATCTGGACTTATACTATGTAAAATTAATTTATTATTTTTACTCTGCTCTTTTTATAATCGTTCCGAAAAGACTTTCATAAACCTATCCTAACTTGCGCCTAGTTAGAAGAATTAGACTAATTCCCTTCGTCCACTCCTCGAGAGACATGACACTCGGAGAGAAAACTAACCCTTTACTGGGAAGGTTTACTACCCGAAAAACTGCATCTATCAAATGGCGCCGTTGCCGGGGAGTGGCACGACATTAGTTTAATTTCTTCTGATTAGCTTGGGTGAAGATTGGTTAGAACGATCTTCTCACTTTTTTTTTCACCAACCACTCATAATAATTATTATGGATAACTCCAGTGGTTATTACGGCCACCTTCTTACTACCAATCACCCAACCGCCCTTTGTTTCAAACCCGCCCACTTTATCACCCACATGAGAACCCATATGATAATGACTACCAATTAAAAAATGGGTCTGACTACTATCCCTATCATGAGGAACCACCATATGATACCCCGTCTCGAAACTTTGGATATTTTTCTATATCAAGACACTGATGGGGATAATTATTCTGAACCTCATGAAGAGCAAAATGACTACGACCAATATGGGCCTATGTACAACAACGAACCTGATCCACTCGTCGAAGAAATCATAAGATTAGAACAGAAAATTTTCTATTTCGAAGAAGTTCTATTTGCTGAAGGCTCCTGGTACGAACCACCCTACTTCTGTGACTACACCCTGTTTGCTGAAGAACAAATTGAAGCAAATAAGGTGGCAATTCGAGAAAGAGCAAAACTTCTTGAATCAGTCCGGAAGGAAAAGGAGTTTGAAAGGAGATTATGCGAAGGATCAGAATTGATGCAGAAAATGCTGGACGACTTCCAAAGAGAGAGACTAGAAGTCGAGCCTAAAGCTGATAAATTAGTCAATGATCTCTGTAAGGCTATTGAGCTAAAACGCTCCCTCCAACCTCAAGATCCACAAATTGAAGAAGTTAATGCTCAAAAAGAGGCTCTAGAACCTAAGACCAACCCTGAATCATTCAATCATCAAGTTCCAGTTCTAGAAGATTCACCCAGTTCTGAACTATCACAGAAACCCGAGAGCATAACAACTCTCGCTAGGGCTAATGTGGTGATGTTACTTGAATCCCTTCCTAGCCAAGTCCCAACCAGCATAGTCGTACAGAAGGTGGAACCAACTAAGGGACCAGACTCAGAACCACCTATGCTTATTCAAGAACAGAAGGAGGAGGAAGTTTTTCCTATGGCAACAAACGACCATCTCCTTAATTGTGTCGAAGACACACCTCCAGAGGAACCTGTGCTGGAGGAAATTAGGCCCACTATCTACCCCCAAGATTCCAATGTTCAAGAGTCTGAGGAGGAATCTATAGACGAGGAAATATTGTGCATGGAAAAACCAACTTCATCTATAGAAACCTGTGCACATAATGCTTTATCGGAAGATTCCGACCAAACTTTCTTTGACTCCCAACTTGACGGGTGTGACTATGTCTGCTCGAAGGATGGTTGGAACTTAAAGCGTTGGGATGAACTTCTGGTGAGTGACGGTGAGGACTCTTCCATGGAGGTAAGCACGGTCGAATTCATCAAACCGCAATTGGATAGTGAGCCCATTAAAGATAAGGAAGAAATCAATTTCACAATCAAGGCTAATGATGTAGATCTGCTGAGGAGACTTCCACTACCACCCACCTATCTAAAGTCTCCTCTATATATCATGTTGCCACCAAGCCGCATGGATGAGTCAAGGATCCTTGACCTAGACCGAGCAAAATATCAAACAAGGTGGCATTAGAAGAGAGTCAGAAGGGCCAAACTTTATGACTCTCGGATCGGGAAGTCACGGAAAAAGTGGGTGAGCGTCAGGCTACGAACGTTAAAGAAGCGCTTAACGGGAGGCAATCCATCATTCATAAAATTATTTAAATAAGTTTTTGAGATTATGCTTGCCGCACCAGTTTTGGGGGCAAGAGTTATTTTGTTTGTTTTCTTTGTTTTTGCAGATAAGAGAACCACTAGGAATACCTTGCAGAGGAAGCGAAGAAGAGGTCCTGCACGTGGGGAAAAATGCAAAGTTTCTACCATCTTCATTGCTCATTGATCCAGCAGTCCTGGTTGAAGTCAGCTACTGAGAGGATTTTGACCTCCTCAGTAAATTCTCTTTTTCTCTCTTTCATTTTTAACATGCTTTGGATGCTTGATGGGTTTTTATTTTGGAATTTTATATTATGACTCTTAACCCATTTTGAGAAAATTTCATGCATTATGTCATATTTCCATGCCTTGGTTATCTATTATTTCAATCTTCAACGTTGAATCTTGTAAGTATTGAGATAACTTAGTGATTGCATGTGGACATTTCAACCATTAACTCTAAATTCTGAAACACTTTTAACCATGAGGGAGTGGTTCCGTTTAAGTGTGAGGAGGTAAGAGCTCGTGGTTGAAATGATCTTTTTAGGATTTGTTTTGTCTATGTATTCTTAGGAAAAGATTTTATAAAATAGTCATCAATTTGTTTGTTTGATTAGTTAATTTTTAGTTATCACCCATAAAAATTGGAAATTTTTAAACTTTTTGTCAAACTTTTATTTTTACTCTAACCTTTTCGGGAATGTTTTCTAAAATGATTTGGGATAAATTCACAATTTACTAAGAGTTTTTAAGATCAATCAATTTTTAATTGCTTTATTGAAAATCTTTTTGCAAATACTCATCTATCTTTTGGGCTATGAATATTTGTTCTTTCTTAAGAAGAGTTATTTTCAAAGTATAAGGGGTGACATTTTAAAGCATGCTTTGGTGAGACAGAGATTCTTGTTTTAGCCAAGAAGCAGTTGGTTCTAGGTAAATTGATGAGGCTTGGTGAGTATGCCGAAAAGCACGTGGTTCTATATTGCGTGATGATGCCTTTTGAGTGTCAATGTCAAAAAGCATGCGATTCTATGTCATGTGATGAGACTTTCTGGAGTGCCTATCCAAAAAGCTTGTGGTTCTATGTCACGGGATGAGGTTAGAAATTTTTCTCATGTCAACATGACAAAGTTATACCAAAGAAAAGTAAACCCTTACATTTTGAAAAATACTTTTGCAAGAACATGTTTTTCAATTTAGCCATTAAAGGCTTTTTGATCTTTAAAGTACTCTTACAAATGTAGTTATCCCAAGGAAAGTTTGGAAAATGTTGGTTGTTTAGGGTGGTGTAAAAATATTGGTTTGACAAAATTATTTTACATTTCTAACAATATGGGTGAGAATCTATTCAAGATATTCAAGATATTTGGTGGAAATCTCGGCAGTAGAGAAGATATTTGGTGGGAATCTCGTATATTCTTGCATCTCACCACATATCTTCTCCGGAACAATACTCTCTCCATTTTTGTTCTTTCTTTTTCCTTTTCTATTTTTTGCTCTTCAAAATTTTATTTTTAAAATTTTCTTATTCTTGTTTTTCTCTTCTCAACACTCTTCCCTTCTCTCTTTCTTTTCTTTTATTTATTTCAAATTGATTTTAGGTCTCCACTTCTCCTCCTTTTTCCCCTTTTCCTACCTCTTTTCAAACTATTTTTCAAATTTTCTTTTTACTTGCAGCAATAAGGCAAATCTTTCTTTGTCTTATAGCTGTTAGGCAGGCCTCTCTCTCTTCCCTGGCTTGTCTACAATTTTTTCCTGGTTTCCAACTTTTTGGTGTTCTTTCCCCTTCTTCTACTATTTTTCAAAACTTTTTCTTCCCTAGTCACCATTCTTTTTAAACTCTTCTAAAAAAAATTTCTCTTTTCACCTCATCCTTAAAAACCCTTCTTTTCTCTTCCTTTTCACAATTTTTTCTCTTTACCAAAACCTCCTCTTGCCCTTCTGTCTTTTTCTTGCCTTTCACCAGCTCCTCCTTTCCTCCCATTTTTTTGTTTTTGTTTTTGCTTTTTGGAGAGATGTTTCTTCCTAGATCTCAAATATCCATTTTGGATATTGGGATTCATCAAACACAATGCCATCTGAACTTCCAAGCAACATCCGCTGGAAATAAAAGCAGCAAATGACAAAAATATCACAAATCTCAAGACAAGACTCGGTTTAGGAATTGTTGTAATTTGAATTGTATTTGTTTAAGAGTTTTTGTTAACAAGCTGTATGTTATGAGAAACTAAAAGAAAGTTATAAAATTAGTTCTCAATACAGCGACCGGAACTCTTAAACACTTGTTTGTCATCATCAAAAAGGGGGAAATTGTTGGGAAATATATTATACATTTTGATGATGATGTATTTAGATTGTAATAGGGACTTTAGGTCACCCCCAATATTCAATGTAATTTTTTATTTTTAGAAATATTGTTAAAACCGAGTTCTTGAGATTTCCAATAAAGATGTGATATTTCACTCTATGGTTTGATGTCAATCTTTGAAGACTTAACCAAATTCAGTGATATGGAAATTGGATATCTTAATCGGAAATGTCAGAGACAAGTAAGGAATTTTCAAAGCAGTTGATTACTTTGAAGATCCTCTAATCCGGAACACTACATGATAACCGGATGTCTCGCTACAACCCACTGAAGGCTAAGTCATCCGGATCGGAAGACTAGCGCAGATCTCTTTCTCACCTGGAAGTCTATGAATGACTTTTCCGAAATTGTCAGCGAAGAACCGGATGCCTCAAGAAAGACCGGAATTCTCAGAAGCAGACAAGTGAGAAAAGACATAGAAAATTAACTAAGTCTTGAATGAAGAAATTCTACCCGTTGGTAAGGAAAAATCAATCTCTTGATTTTCAACGGCTAGATTGAGGATAATTAAGCTGATTCAAAAACAAATGACTTGAAGACAAAGTCTGGACTTCTCAAATTAAAGAGCTTGCCCAGAATTCCTAAACAAGCACTAGAAGACAAACTGAGTACTCCACTCAATAAAGAGCTATAGTTCAGAATTTTTGAACAACAGCTAAAGGACGGATTCTTTGAAAAAGGAATCCTTCTTCAAACAATTGGGTATGTCCAAACACCCTTTCCAATAAAGAATCCTCAGTCTCACTCTTCTTTCAAATTGAAGCCAACAATTGCAACGGATAATCTATTACCTTCAACGAATAGATTACCGAATCCAGCTATATATAGCTTCCTTGGAAGACTGGAGAAAGATATGAGATAGCAAGCAAGATTACAACAACAACAAGCTACATCTATCTCATTCACAGTCAGCCAAAAAGCTTGATAAAAAGAGATCTCTAAACTCCTTATCCAGAAGCAAACTTCTCCACCTTCCAAAGAGCTATAGTGTAAACACTTGAAGGTTTCCTTGCCTCAAGTAAGTACCACACCACGTTGAAGGATACATCTTTTAATCAAACTTCTTGATTAAAAAGGGGGTACATCAACTTTCCTATAAGTTGATCTTGCAAGTCCTATTGTTCGGATCTTGCAGTTGTTGAAGAAGCTTGACCTTCGAAGGAACAACAAAGCCAGCACGTGTGCAGTAGCAACATTGGTCTTGCGAAGATTATACCGTGCAAAAATTCACACAGTGTAATTGTTGGTTCATTATTCAACAACCAACTACATAGTGGATTTTGAGGACGTAAAAGGATTACCCCACCTTCGAACCTCGTTAAAGTTTGCGTGTCTCTCTCTCTTTTATCTTTACTCATATTTGCAATTATATTAACTGTGAAACTAACCCATCCATATTGATCACTGCTCTATTAACCCACCAACTTTCGCACACAATCTAAGGTTCACAAGAACTCTAGATTAACACTCATTTTTCACATTTTCAAAAGAAATGAAATTTTTTTAAAATTGTAACAAAGTCTATTCACCCCCCCTCTAGACTTTGTATCTCACCACTTTGGGACCACCACTACTGAAAACCATTCTATCAACCCATGGTTTTCAACATAAACCTCAACATCGATGTTGCAAAACAAACATTGCTCTTGGGCTGGTTTGCTAGAACCATGGTTAGCTAGTCAACGACTCAACGTTGAAAGCTGATATCAAAAATCAAAGTTCTCTAAATTAAAACACTTATTTAATGAATTTAAATAATAAATCAATTATAATATATTAAAAACCACATCATTAAGGTAAAAACCACACCTAGTCAAGTTTAAGTCGTTTCACATGGTTTTTCCCAAAATACCAAAAATAGAAGGTGGTTTTTAACACATTTTTTGTTGGAGAACTATTTAAATATGCACTTAAGTCAAAACCAATCAAAAAATATTAAAAACCACTTGGTTGGTTTAGACACCAAAAACCAACGCCGATAACTAAAAGCCAAACCCCGAAGATCGTGGTTTTTAGTTTGAACAAACACCAAGTGTTTTTGGCTTATAAAACATTTATAAAAACTGTTTTAATGATGCATGAGAATGTTTTAATGGTTTTAAACCTAGAGAGCCAAGTAAAGAAGTTAATGCCGTTCTTGATCCCATTAAGACCGACTCAACTATTTCTATGTCTTCGACTTTGTTCTTGGTTTTTGGTTCCACTTGTTCATTTTTCCAAATTTTTCTTTGCCTTGAGTTTGTTCAATGTCTTTTTCATATCCTCAGCGGTTTGGAATTTATCAAAACCTGTCAAAAATGAAAATCACTTTAGTACATCATAATGGTAGTGTGTTCCAACATCGCAGACCAGGTAGTGCAGAATGGTGTGTGACGGTAGCAAGGTACCGCCTGGAGGTTCCGACCTACCATCACTCATGGAGTTCTCTGTTTCAACATGTTCAAGTCGTAAACAAATCTCCTTATTCCAATTCTTTTCAAATTAACATTCTGAAACAGTTACAATCACACATTCAACATCACATGAACATAAGATATCAATTTTATGCTTAACTCATGTGTTCTATCTGTTGGTTTATTCATAAACCCAAAAATCTCAAATCAAACATATCATACGGGTTTTCATGCGATTCAATCAACAAAACAATTACGAACGTAGATTTCAAACCTAATTGAATACTCTAACGTTAGGGTTCCATGTACTCACCTAGAAATGGCAAATAATTAAACTACGGAGCAAGGATGGTAGTGAGAGCACGCCGACCTTCTTCTTCTTCTCCTCCTCCTCGGTTTTGAATTGTGTGTCATGTGATCGAAAGAGCGAGCGGAAGAAAAGGGTGAGACGTGTGATGTGATGAGTATTGAAATAACCTAGGGATTTGTGCTTCATATTTAGTTAACGTACGTCGATAAAATACACTTTTGGGCCAACTTTCTCTGAATTATGATATGTTTGCACCATTGGATTTGTCTCAACGAACCCTAGACAATGGTATATCTTTTATAATTTATCTACAAGTATTTCTAATTAACTCTGACTTCGTCTCATTAATTAATTATTTATTTCTTATATACCGGTTTTCAGGGCATTACATTTCTATCCCCTTAAAAGAATTTTTTTCCCATGAAATTACCTGAGTCATTGGTCACTTAAAAGATGAGAATACTAGGTTCGCATGGACTCCTCAGTATCCAAGGTTTCTTTTTTTTTTGTGGAGTGATTCGTCAAATATCTGAAAGGGTTGTTCTTCATTGTACAAACCCTCATCAAGGGTGACGGTTCCATCGGGCACGACATGAGAAGGATCGGAGCAGTATCTCCTTAGCATAGGCACGTTAAACACGTCATGTATTCTATTCAACTTTGGGGGCAGCTCGAGTCGGCTACCAATCCCACTTGGTCGATGAGTCAGTAAGGTTCGATGAATCTAGAGCTTAACTTACCTTTCTTACCGAATCTCAACACCTTCTTCCAAGGTTAGAATTTTATGAACACAAAATTGTCGATGTTGATTTCAATCTTTTGATGCTTAAGGTTAGCGTAAGACTTTTGATGATCTGAGGCTATCTGCAGTCTGTCCCAAATCACTCGGACTTTTTCTTCTGTCTCACGGACAAGGTCTGGTCCTTTGAGCTTAGAATCACTCAGTTCGGTCCAACAAACTAGTGTTCTGTAACGTTTTCCGTAATGTGCCTTGTACGAAGCCATTTGTATTCTAGCTTGATAGATTTTGTTGTAAGTGAGTTCCATCAACGACAAGTGTTGCTCCCAAGAGTCCCCGAAATCAATGACACAAGCTCGCATCATATCTTCTAAGATTTGAATACTCACACAGTGACCATCGTTCTGTGGGTGACATGTTGTGCTAAAGTTGAGCTTAGAGCCAAGGGCCTGCGGTAGACTCTTCCAAAATTGTGACGTGAATCGCAGATCATGATCTAAAATGATAGATACAGGAACTCCATGCAATCTAAAGATCTCACATATGTAAAGTTCCACTAGCTTTTGGAATGAGAAATCCCTTCTGATCGGAAACAAGTGTGTTGACTTCGGAAACTGGTCCATAATGACCCAAACGGCATCGTTCCTCTTATTTGACGGTGGGAACCCGATCAAAAAGCTCATGGTGATTTGCTCCCACTTATACTCAAGAATGATCGGTGGATGCAGTAATCCACTTAGTACGTGGTGCTCAGCTTTGACTTGTTGATAGGTCAAGCATCTAGAAGTAAACTCTGATATTTCCCTTTTCATGGTTGGCCACTAGTACTGTAACGGCTCGAAAATAGGTCTATCAGGATTTAATTAATTGATAATTAATTAATTACTGAGAAGGACCTAAAAACAAGTGATTTATAAAGTTTGTCAATAAATAATGAAAACTATATCATTATGTAGAGTTTGACTATCTGACCCCAACGGTTCAATCGGGTTTCAATTAGGAGAAAGTTGGACCAAAAAGTGTACCCTGACTGGGACCAAAAATTATTCTCAATTAGGGACTACACACCAAACGGCACCCTGTTCAATTATGCCGATTCCAAAATCGCAAAAGCAATCAGGAATGTAACTCCCTTAGCTCCTTCCCCTCTCCTTTTCTATATAAGAAGCATCGTGCTCCTCTATTTCTTCACCAAAACACCCCATTCTTCTTCCATTTTGTCCCTGAGAGTGTGGAGAGTAGAGTGGTGCTGTTTAGAGAGCCGGAGGTCGCCACAGTTGAGAGCTATCGTCGCCGGAAGTTTCGCTAGAAAATTTCCAAAATCATTGTTTAGCTTCGAGGTAAGCCCGTAGATATATCTAATAACTAGAATGTTCATATAGGTCGTTTCTTTGTTCATAAATGGTCATTTTGTTGAGTTTTTTGTTTGACATGCTAGAAAAACTAAGAATCATAAACCTTGAATTTGATGTTAAAACCATGAATTAATGACACCAAAATGATCTGTGAACCTTGGAGAACATTTCTACATAGTTTAATTGAAGTTTGGTAACAAAAAATGGATTTTTCGAAATTGGACCCGAGAGGTAGAAGACAACGAACAATGATTGAAAACCAATAGGGTGGATCGATCCACCCCACTGGATCGATCAAAAATAGTACTTTCTCTACATAGGATCGATCCAAAGTGCTAGATCGATCCCCCGACCTCAATGCTCCGAAAATACTTCTAAAAGTGTTAGTTTTGAACTCCAAAATCCTATTTTTTGATACCAATTAATTATGAGCAATATAAAGATGATTTTTCATAATAAAAATGATGTTTTTGGCAAATAAAAACCTTATGTGATGCATGATGGTAAGTTAGGGTGTTAACACTCGAAACTAGGCCGCTATTTGCTAGGCTATTGGATGTTATCTTGATGCATGATTATGATAAATAATTATTATGGATGATTATTAATGATGAACCTACTGATTAAAATGATTATTGATGATTTAATCATGACTCAAAATGGATATATTGGTAATCACGAATATGATGTATGTTGTTAAGGATATCTAGAAGAACTTTAAGATATACCCATTTGAAAATTGATGATGATTATTAAAGATACCTAGAAGAACTCTAAGAATTACCTCCTTGACCAATTCATAAATTAGGGTTAAAATGTACCTACGGGATCCAGACCGGATATCACCCGCCCGACAGTTCACTATTCGGTTGGTACGTAATCCACATGACTCATAGGGTGGATTATCGATTCTTGTGTTCTGCGTTAAACTATTTATAGTTTAAGAGCCTGGTTAAAAATATTGCCTTAGACTAGGAATAGCTAAGAGCTTGTTATAAAATGATTTGGCCTTAGATTAAGAATAATCTAAGAGCATTGTTGAGATATTGAATATTGAAATGACTTGGAATAAAATATTGAGGATATAATGAATGCTTGAATCATATATTGTGTGCATGATATCACATGGTTGATTATCAATTGTAATTCAATTTATGTGGATGTTCGACGCTTTAGATATGCTTACTCAGCTTCACCGCTAAGTGTGTAGTGTGTTTTATTTGTTAGACATGAGTTCAAACCCCTTTAGATATTGTGTTCTTGAAATTAATTTTTTCAGGTTTTGATAAATGACAAACGCAACACAGAAAGAAATTTTCTTTTCGGTTCAAGATAGCAAAAGCGGCACATCAAGATCCCTACGCAAGTAAAGAAAGAGTTCCGAAGACTTTTAATTTTTGAGTCTAGAATAATTTGTAAGGATGACAAAATCTTTGTTCTTAAATCATTTTATTTTGATGAGGGATACACATTAAAATAAATTATATTTATTTTTGGAGTCAGTTGAAAAATCTTTTATCAGCTCAAAAATAAATTTATGGAGTCAGTTACAAAAGGTGTGTCAAATAATTTCAAAATAATCATTATGATATGAGAAAATTTTTTGTCGGGAAGCAAAATAATTTTTACCAAATTTATTTTACATCATTTGACACACAAAATATTTTTGGGATTCTATTTCTACACCCTAAATCCCAAAAATATTTTACTTTATTCAAAAATGGAATATATCTTAATTAGTGTGTTGATTGAGATTATGTTTGTCCAGATTTCTAATTGCAATCAACATATCTTGGACAAATTTGACTAATCAATCTCGATTTTGATTGATTCTTGCTGTCTCTGCAAAATTCGAACTAAAAATCGTTTTTTTTTGTAAAAATCGATTTCTTGTTGTTGCGCAGTAAGGCTTTTTCGCCCAGTTTTTTAATCAATTTTTTCACCTTTGGTAAAATCGATTTTTCACAAAAACCGATTAATCAGCTCTTGGATTAATCGATTAGGCTATTCCTGCTCCAAAGATTTTTGCTCAGTAGCATCTAATCGATTTTCTCACTTTTCCAAAAATTGATTTTTTGTCCGTTGCACCTCATACTTAGCCATATCTCTGGCCCCAACGGACAGGGACGGAGGGGGGGGCATGCCCAGGCAAGTGCCGCTCCGGCGAAATTCCGGCGATGGAGGTGTATGGTACCCAATCGACGATGGAGGCCGGATTTGCCCCCCCAATTATCGATGGGAGGCGGCTGGCCAGAACTGTCGATCGAACTTCGAAGAACATCAGAAGAAGAAGAAGCAGATTCGTGAAGGGAAAAAACTCAAAACGACGTCGTTTTAATAATGGGTTTTAAATAATTTCCTTGACCCAGTCCAACACTACACGGCCCAGTAGCCCAATTGTCCAAAAAAATACGGAGTAGTCATTCATCGCCTCAGACCCTCATCACCATCATCGGCTTATTCCGCAGCAGCAACCGATTCGACGAAGGCAGAAGAAATCCGCGTCTGGAAACCGACGGCCAGGATTTTTGAATTCTTCCAATTTTGAGCCCTTCTTCGGTGCTTCTTCATCCAATCTAGGAGTTCCGCACCCTCAAGCCTCAAGTCCTCAACAGGTTCTAATTGGGGTTTTAATTCCGTAATTTCTAATTTGAGTTCTGGTTGAGAGATTGTTACTCCATATTTATCGTTTTGTGCCAATTTTAGCATTTTGTGTTCAATTCAAGCAACTAAGGATATGATTTAGAATTATTGAGCTATTCTTTTTTATCATGTGCTTGTAATATATTGCTATTTGCTTGATTTTGTGATTAATAATTTAATATACATGTGCATTCGGTTAAAAAAAACATTTTATGGGTCATGGTGGGTGACCCAAATTTCTATTTGAAAAGAAATTAAATTTTGTAAAATAAAAAAAAATCCACAAAAGTAACTAAAAGTATTACAATTTTGATTATAACTCAAGCCAAATTATTTCCATCAACTAAAAGAACTCAAGCCGAATTACCTCAAGTATAATTAATAAGCATGTCATTTTATAGCTATAATTTGATTTATTTGAGTATCTATTTATAGGTAGATTTCAATAACTTTTTGTTTAAATTGATAATGTTTTTTAAAAAAATATGGCGTGTGGCCCCAGACCCTCGTAATGTGCCCACCCTATAGCTATTTCGTGGCTCCGCCACTACCAACGGATATATTCTTTTTTCTCCTATATAATCCCTCTTTCACCTTCCTTTTAAATACAATTCAAGCACTCTAATCTCCCAATTGCTATCTTTTGATTCTCGTTCCATCTCTTGATAATCAAATACTATTTTGAGAGCTAAATATACATATATTAGTTGAGTGCAAAAGAGATTGTCATCCATTAAAGCTTATACTTTAAACACTACTTGCTCAATTTGTGAGCTTCATTTCTTGTGTTGTTAAACTCATCTTGTTTGAGTTGTTGTTCTTAAGACTTGTGTGACTCAAGTCTTGGTGTTGTAAGAAAGTGAGGCTTGTGTGATTCAAGTTCTCAAGTTGTACCAGTTTTTCAAGCACCTGTTGAAGCTTGAAGATTAGTAGGACCTACGAGAGAGTCTCTCGGAGGACTAGAGTAGCCACGACGTGGTGAATTAGTATAAATCTCGGTGTTCTCTTTTCCCTTGCTCTTTTACTTATTCTTGCAATTTTTATTTCACACACGCGAAAAACGCACATTCTTGAAAACAACTCTATTCACCCCCTCCCCCTCTAGAGTTGCACTTTTGTCTAACAATTGGTATCGGAGCGGGAAGTTCTTCGAATACGTTATACTTTCAGGAACTAAAAGATCAAATGGCATCAAGAATGTTCAACGCAGGAGTTACTGAGGGACAATCAACCACGAGGGCTACCTTAGTTCGATGGAACAAACTACTCGTATTGAAAGAAGAGGATGAGAATCTTCATCCAATCCAACGACTACAAGTTGTGGTTGATTGTGAAAAATGGCTGCGGAATTCCAATGAAGGAAGTAGATGGAGTCTATGTTCCCAAAACTGAAGAGGAGTTCGACGAAAACGACTTCAAGAAGATGGAGCTCAATGCCAAGGCAATAAACATAATATATTGCGGCGTTAATGTAGACAACTACCGGAAGATCTCGCGGTGTGAAACCGCAAAGCAAATGTGGGAAAAGTTGGAAATCACCTACGTACGAAGAAACTTTCCAAGTTCGGGAGGCTAAGATAGACCAACTCACCCATGAGTACGAGTTGTTCTCAATGAAGGAGAACGAGAAGGTGGAAGAGATGTTCGAGAGATTCTCTAACATCATCAATCATCTCAACCTTCTCGGAAAAGTCTACACCGACCGAGAACTTGTAAGGAAGGTGTTGCGGAGCTTGTCACCCAAGTGGCGTTCAAAGGTGGAAGCAATCGAGGAAGGGCGCGGCTTCCAAACGATGGCTTGTGACTCTCTTCGAGGTAATCTCATTACCTACGAAACCACTCAATTTTCAAAAGTGGTTGAAGAGAAGAACAAGAGAAGCATCGCTCTTCCCGCAACAATGTCAACCAACAACGTTGACGACGAAGATGATGATAGCGATGACACCGACATTAGACTCTTCGTCCGGAGATTCAAGAAGATGATGAACAAGAAGGGAGCCAAGAAGAACACTCCACCCAAGTGCTATGGGTGTGGTGAAGTTGGACACATTAAACCAATGTGTCCTAAGCTCAAGAATGAGAAGGACAAGAACGCACCGAAGAAGCAACATGCCTACATCTCTTGGGAGAACGATGGCTCCGGAAGTGAAGATTCCGAAGTAGAGGAAGTGGCCAATCTTTGCCTCATGGCCATCGAGGAAGACCAAGTATCAAAAGAGGTAAGTGATCAAGAACCTTTCTCAAAGAACTTGTAGGTATGTTTAAAAAGGCCTCAAAAGAAAGTAAAGAAGTTAAACAAAAAATCCTGATTTTTGAGAATGATATTAAAGAACTCAAAAATATAAATGATTCACTTAAACAAGAAATTGTTTCACTTGGAAAAAGGCCGGAAACATCACCGTCTTGTTCATCTACTACATGCTCTAGTTGCACTTCATTTAAAACTAAGGTTGCTACTTTAGAGAGCAAATTCGGAAAGTTCAATAAAGCCTCAAACACCTTAGATAAAATCTTTAGGAAAAAATCTAGTAATGGTGAAGGACTTGGATATAAGAAAAATCCACCTAGAAGAACAACATTTGTAAAAGCTAGGGGAAATAAAAATGTTAGAACAAATAATCAAATTAGTAAAACACATCCTAGCAAACCTAGAACTTATTACACTCAACCATATAGGATGAATAATCCAAATGTTATTTGCCATTATTGTAATAAAATAGGTCACATTGCACCCGTGTGCTTCACCAAACATAGGCATTTTCAACAAACGCACACACATCGCACATATACTAATAAAAAAGGACCCAACAATGCATGGGTACCTAAATCGTCTCCTTGATATCATTTTATAGGTGTGCTTGAAGGCTTCGAGTACCTCTTGGTATCTCGATAGCAGATGCTCCAAGAACATGACCGGAGCCGCCTCCAAAATTTAGAAGTTCAGAGTATTTCAAAGGTGACAATGTCGTTTTTGGAGACAACAACAAAGGAAGGATTGTTGGAAGTGGAACCGTCGGAAGAGACAATGCTACAGCCGTTGAGAACGTTCTTCTTATTGAGGGCCTCAAGCACAATCTTCTTAGTATCAGTCAATTGTGCGATCGAAGTAACCGCGTCATCTTTGATTCTAGTAAATGCATTGTAGAACGCTTGTGTGACAATAAGGTTATTCTTTGTGGTAGTAGGGTAGATAACATTTATATGTTTGATCTTGAAAATTCCTCATCTACCTTAGCTAAGTGCCTTATTTCCAAATAGCTCATGTTAACATGAATCATCTTAACAAGTTGGTCTCTAAAGACTTAGTAATTGGTGTTCCTAAACTTAAGTTTGAGAAGAATCTAATTTGTGATGCATGTCAAAAGGGGAAGCAAGAAAGGGCTTCGTTTAAGTCAAAGAACGTTGTTTCTACGACTAGGCCGTTACAACTTTTGCACATAAACCTTTTTGGACCTTCAAGAACAATGAGTTTAGGAGGCAATTACTTTGGCTTCGTTATCGTTGATGACTATTCGAGGTTTACATGGACACTATTCCTTGCTCATAAGTATGATGCACTTAATGCTTTTAAGAAATTCATTAAATTGGTTCAAAATGAAAAAGATTGTCACATAACATCCATTAGAAGTGATCATGGGGGAGAATTCGATCAAGATGGCTTTGACGCCTTATGTGACGAATTAGGCATTGAGCATAACTTCTTGGCCCCCCGTACACCACAACAAAATGGAGTGGTTGAACGGAAAAATAGATCTCTTGAAGAGATGGCAAGAACTATGCTTAATGAGGCTAATCTTCCTAAATATTTTTGGGCGGGTGCCGTGAGTACCGCGTGCTACGTGTTAAACCGAGCCGTCATTAGACCGATACTCAAGAAAACACCGTATAAACTTTACAAAGGAAGAAAGCCTAACCTTTCCTATTTTCATGTCTTTGGATGTAAAGTTTTTATTCACAATAATGGAAAAGATAACTTGGGAAAATTCGATGCTAAGTCGGATGAAGGAATTTTCTTAGGTTATTCTCTTCGTAGTAAGGCATATAGAGTGTTCAACAAGCGTACTAAGACCGTAGAGGAATCTATTCATGTTGTTTTTGATGAATTTGATGCTCGCCTGGCGAGAAAAGGTATTGTTAACAATGTCGTAGGTTCTTATGACGATGAAGAAGAAATCATTAAGGAAAAGGAACCGGAAGAAGAGAAAATGCAGGAGCAAACGGAGCTTCCTAAAGAGTGGAGAACGTTGAAGAATCACCCGATTGACAACGTCATTGGTGACATAACGAAGGGAGTGTCTACTCCCTTCGATGATGAACATTGGTCTATGGCAATGCAAGAGGAGCTTAACCAATTTAAACACAATGATGTTTCGGAATTGGTGCCTAGACCTAATGATCATTCCGTTATTGGCACAAAATGGGTGTTTCGTAACAAACTCGATGAAGATAGAGTGATCACTAGAAACAAAGCTAGGCTTGTGTATAAAGGCTACAATCAAGAAGAAGGCATTGATTATGAAGAAACTTATGCACCGGTAGCATGATTAGAAGCCATTCATTTATTGCTTGCTTTTGCATCTACGATGAATTTTAAACTCTATCAAATGGATGTTAAAAGTGCCTTCCTTAATGGTATCATGCAAGAGGAAGTGTATGTCGAACAACCCCCGGGTTTCGAAGACTTTGAGTTTCCCGAACATGTCTTCAAACTCAAAAGGGCGCTTTATGGTCTCAAACAAGCACCTCGTGCTTGGTATGAACGGTTAAGGAAATTTCTTTTGGACCATGAGTTCAAACAGGGTCAAGTTGACACTACACTTTTTATCAAGAAAGATAACCAAGACATCCTTTTGATTCAAGTTTACGTAGATGATATCATATTCGGTGCTACTAACGAGGCTTTGTGCGGGGATTTTTCCGATATGATGCAAAGCGAGTTTGAAATGTCAATGATGGGAGAATTGAAATTCTTCCTTGGGCTGAAAATTAGACAATGCAAGGAAGGAATATTCGTGTGTCAAACAAAATACTGCAGGGAATTGCTTAAGAGATTCGACGTTACCGAATCCAAATCCATTGGCACGTCAATGAGCACCTCTTGCTATCTCGACAAGAATGAAAAAGGTAAAGAGGTAGATATCAAGCGCTACCGAGGTATGATCGGCTCTTTACTTTATCTTAGTGCAAGTAGACCAGATATCATGTACTCCGTTTGTATATGCGCTAGGTATCAATCATGTCCTAAAGAATCGCACTTGGCTGCGATCAAAAGGATACTGCGATATCTTGCGGGCACGTTGAACGTAGGTCTATGGTATCCCAAAGGTTCGACATTTCATCTTGTTGGCTATTCCAACTCGGATTTTGCAGGATGCAAACTCGATAGGAAAAGTACCAGCGGTACTTGCCACTTATTCGGTCATTCGTTAATCTCGTGGTTTAGTAAGAAACAAGTTAGTGTTGCACTATCCACCACTGAAGCAGAGTATGTCGCTGTGGGAAGTTGTTGTGCTCAAATTCTCTGGCTTAAATAACAACTAGTAGATTTCGGCCTTATACTTGATCACATCTCAATTAGGTGTGACAATATGAGTGCTATCAGTCCCACGAAGAACCCCGTTCTTCATTCAAGGACTAAACACATAGAAATTAGGCATCACTTCATTCGAGATCATGTCCATAAGGGAGATGTCACAATTGAGTTTGTTGAAACGAAACATCAATTGGCGGACATTTTCACAAAACCCCTTAGTAGGGAGAGTTTCTTCCACATTAGGAATGAACTTGGTATTTTGGATATCTCAATGAATTAATTTTTTGTGTGTTCATAGTTACTAACTTGAGCGTCGGACACGCAATAAATCTTTTTTGCAGGATCTTTTTCAGGTATCTCTTGCCTTGGCATAATTTTTTTTTGAAATTGATGTTGTGTTTTGAGAAAAACACCCTTCTTTAAAGAATCCCTTCAAAATCAGTGCATCAACACTTTTCAAAACTGATTTTTGGACTCTGTTGCAAGCTAATCGATTTTTGCCATTCATTCTAATCGATTAGTAGAGTCTGAGTAATTTTTGGCCTGCGTAACCAAGTCTAATCGATTACCACTTTGAAAGAAAAATCGATTTTTTAGTTACCCTGAACGCGCTCCTTGAAATCCCTTAATAATCGATTTTTGTCCTTTACGTTTAATCGATTAGATTCGTCTGTTCAAACTTTTGCATGAGTCATCATTCGAAATCGATTTTTTTGCTTCCTAAATTAATCAATTTTTACTTCGTTTCGCCCCTCTAATAACAGATCTAAGGCAAAATTTCAGGTCTCACTTTCTTCTTCTTCCTTAAGCGGCGACAAAGCACCTTCGAACCCTAGGTTCTATTTTTCCTTTTTTGCTTCAATTCTTGACCAAATCTCTTAAATCTCTTCAATTTCATCATCACCTTCATCAATAATCATGCCAAGGAGAGAGAAACCACCTCGCGTTCCTCACGTTGGTGAGATTTGGAGGTTGGAAGGACAAACCTACGTGCACACTCAAACCAACATCTGATTCGCCGTCACCGGGGATGTTGATAAGTTTCATAAACAATTTTTGGAGAAGGAGATCATTTCGCCGAAGATCGTTGACCCGACTCTCTTTCACCAAGCGACCTATGCCCCGTGTAAAGCTCCATTCCAACAACAAGGTTTGTTAAAATTCATCTCTTTGAAATACGATTTTTATTATCCGAATCTTATTCGTCAATTTTATTCGACTCTCCGTATTTCTCTCGAAGAAATCCTGATTTGGCTGCCCACGTTGACGGAAAGACAATTCTTGTTCAAGACAAAACCTTGACGACTATTCTTGGTCTTCGTCAAGGTGAAGTCCGTGGAAATTTTGATAACACTTTTGAGGACAAAGCCATTTGGCAACAACTCGGCGTACCTTTCAATAGCCTTTCATACGCCAATTCCTCAAACTCGAGTGTCACTAATCTCACTATGACACAACGGGTTCTTCAATATATTTTTTGTTATATTTTGTAGCCTCGAGACTCCAATCATGGCGTTGTAAACAAGGATGATATCCGTTTGTTTCACATTCTTTTGAACAACGTCAAATTTGATTGGATTCATTTCTTTCTCATCGCTCTACGTGATGGCTCTCGACTCCATCAGCTCCGTTTCGCCGTCCCTATAATGCTTATCCTCCTTCACTCGGGAGTGGACTTTTCACGGGACATAAGGGTGCCAGTGAAAAAGACGTGCTTCATTCAAGAGTTGAAGTTCACCCGAGTCGTTTGCCAAAACGAGGGTGAAATGCCTCAACGCCGAGTGATCGAGCAAGAAGCAAGCGTTCATGAGAGCGAAGCCGAGACCGAGGCTGTTCGTAGCCGCTCAAGGGCAGGTCCTAGCAATGCCGGCGAAGGACCGAGAAACACAGAGAGGAGACTAGCCTAGCCGCGGTTAGAGAAGCCCGATGGCGACGCCCACGACCGAGAGAAGAAGAGCTCGAACCCTCTTGGGTACGGAGGGTCTTGGATGCCATCACGTGTGTTCGTGACGACATCAGACACTTGACCGATCGAGTCACCCGGCTGGAGGATTCCTGCTTCTCTCGCTCTTATCGAGGTTCTGGCCACAGCTTTTCCAGAGGACCCAGGCCGGCTAACTCTTTTTTATTCGTTTGTTTGCTTGTAATGAATTATTATGTTTTTTATGACTTAAGATTTGTTGCTTTTGACATTGGTATGTTTATTGGATGCTCTTTTAACATTTATCTTGTATGGCACTTGTGATTGTTTGGCAATATGATTCTCTCTGAAAACATATTGTCCCAAGCTTGGTTTAAGGGGGAAAGACCCTTTGATAATGCCAAAAGGAGGAAGGAAGGATAGTTGAGAATGAGAAAATCGTTTCAAAACATTTTCCGCTACTCCGTTCCGATTATTCTTGCTTGTAGGGGGAACCTTTTTTATCAAGGGAATATTTTTTTTCTCTTTTGCTATTATCTCAACTATGTTTGTCATTATCAAAAAGAAGGAAATTGTTGGACATGAGTTCAAACCCCTTTAGATATTGTGTTCTTGAAATTAATTTTTTCAGGTTTTGATAAATGACAAACGCAACGCAGAACGAAATTTTCTTTTCGGTTCAAGATAGCAAAAGCAGCACATCAACATCTCTACGCAAGTAAAGAAAGAGTTCTGAAGACTTTTATTTTTTGAGTCTAGGATAATTTGTAAGGATGACAAAATCTTTGTTCTTAAATCATTTTATTTTGATGAGGGATACACATTAAAATAAATTGTATTTATTTTTGGAGTCAGTTGAAAAATCTTTTATCAGCTCAAAAATAAATTAATGGAGTCAGTTACAAAATGTGTGTCAAATAATTTCAAAATAATAATTTTGATATGAGAAAATTTGTGTTGGGAAGCAAAATAATTTTTACCAAATTTCTTTTACATCATTTGACACACAAAATATTTTTGGGACTCTATTTCTACACCCTAAATCCTAAAAATATTTTACTTTATTCAAAAATGGAATATATCTTGATTAGTGTGTTGATTGAGATTATGTTTTGTGCAGATTTATGATTGCAATCAACATATCTTGGACAAATTTGACTAATCAATCTCGATTTTGATTGATTCTTGCTGTCTCTACAAAATTCAAACTAAAAAGCGATTTTTTATTTTTTGTAAAAATCGATTTCTTGTTGTTGCGCAGTTAGGGTTCTTCGCCCAGTTTTTAAATTGATTTTTTCACCTTTGGTAAAATCGATTTTTCACAAAAATCGATTAATCAGCTCTTGGATTAATCGATTAGGCTATTCCTGCTCCAAAGATTTGTGCTCAGTAGCATCTAATCGATTTTCTCACTTTTCCAAAAAACAATTTTTTGTCCGTTGCACCTCATACTTAGCCATATCTCTTGCTCCAACGGATATATTCTTTTTTCTCCTATATAATCCCTCTTTCACCTTCATTTTAAATACAATTCAAGCACTCTAATCTCCCAATTGCTATCTTTTGATTCTTGCTCCATCTCTTGATAATCAAATACTATTTTGAGAGCTAAATATACATATATTAGTTGAGTGCAAAAGAGATTGTCATTAATTAGAACTTATACTTTAAACACTACTTGCTCAATTTGTGAGCTTCATTTCTTGTGTCTTTAAACTCATCTTGTTTGAGTTGTTGTTCTTAAGACTTGTGTGACTCAAGTCTTGGTGTTGTAAGAAAGTGAGGCTTGTGTGATTCAAGTTCTCAAATGTACCGTTTTTCAAACACCTGTCGAAGCTTGAAGATTAGTAGGACCTACGAGAGAGTCTCTCGGAGGACTGGACTAGCCACGACGTGGTGAACCAGTATAAATCTCGGTGTTCTCCTTTCCCTTGCTCTTTTACGTTTTTCTTACAAATTTTATTTCACGCACGCAAAAAAACGCACATTCTTGAAAACAACTCTATTCACCCCCCCTCTAGAGTTGCACTTTTGTCTAACATTATTTGCCACATACAGGTAGGCAGAATGAATGATTGACATATTCCTGGCAGCGGAAGGGGCGAGACAGTCGTGGTGGATTTATGGATAAAATAAATAATTATGTTTGTTATGAGACATGCTTTAAAGTTGCTTCCTCATTATTATTAAACACTCCGTATTTTCTATAGTTATGTATTGAATATTATTTATGATGAATAAAGATATTTGAAATGTTTGAAATTCTACGATTACCAAGTTAATACTTTAGTCCGAAAGGGGCTGCAGACTTGTACGGATTAGGGTGTTACAAGTACGTTCTCTTTAGATCCGAATATATCTTGTTGCTACAAGGGTTCTTGGTATACGTAGTCTTCTAAGCTTCACGCAACAAGTGCTACCTCACTTAACGACTTGGCACCACAAGGCAATCCCTATAGAACAAGACTATGTCGTTTTCCATGGTGAAGTCTTGTGTCTCCCCCTTAGAGACAAGCTTCTTGGTCTTTGAGCAATATTCATCTTCTTTTTTTGTTGTGCAAATTTCACTCTTTAGAGTGTGCTATAGTCAAAGTCCTGCTGTAACACCCTCCGTCCCGCGAACCTAGTTTGCCGCGGCCCAATAAGCCGGAGAGGTTACGCAGACGGTTTTTTCCGGACCATCTACAAAGTAAACCCTTGCGTTGCTCTTGTAACTGAAAACTCTTAATATACTTTATTAAATGATGGAGATAAAATAATTTAAGGAATATGTCTTGTAGCGGAAGTAAATGAAAATAATAAGTGTTAAGTCTCAAATAAAGAAGTGCGACAATGGTGGGTTCAAGCCCAAAACGTTGTTGTTATGAAATAGATAATTAATCGGGTCCCCACTGTCGTCGATCCGTTGCCCCGATCTCCCAATCCTCCGGGTCAGGCTCCATGTTCGTCTTGCCTACCTGCGTATAGCAAAGACAACGCTACACGCTCAGCAAAAGCTGAGTGGTAATCTAACAGTAGAACGCATAGTACATTCACATTGATATAAACATAATTGTACCTGTACTAAAGTACGAAGTACCACATACAAGTTTGATGAATACTAGTTTACAAATGAACGGTGATGCAATGCCAAATAAACATGATGCATGAGTTAGACTGCGCACGGACCCCCTGCCCTTCGGTGATCATCCCCACGCGGTAGATGAGCCGAGGAACGTAACGCCTTAGTCTTCCCGATGGAGACTAGATAATGTGGGTGATAGTTGAAAGCCTAGCTACCATGTACGTACACAAACCCTCGTGATGAAAACCCGTTGGAGCCCGCAGGTTCCTGGACGGGCCCGCGGAAGAGGTGCACTAGGCCTGACCTCTTGTCGCGGTATGCAAAGTATGCCATGATCCTAAACATGCGTCTAGGATATACATGATAATATGGATGCATTGATTGAAGAATGAAGTTAAGTTCAACGCATACATATATATTTGATTCCGTATGAAAATGATTTGTTTAATATGACAGCCTTAGGTTCAGAACTGGCTGATAGTCGATTATCCATTGTTGATAATCGATTATCATGCTGAGCAGCTTCTGCTCCCAAAGTCCTGCAGACTGTGATAGTCGATTGTCACCCTTTGAATATCGATTGTCAAGTTGTTCTGTCCAGGAAATCCTAAGTTCAAAGAGGCCTGATAATCGATTATTGCTCTGTGATAATCGATTATCAGATGAACCAGCTCTGACTCAGGAATCCGCAGGGCCTGATAGTCGATTATCACATATATGATAATCGATTGTCACGCTTTGCTGGATCAACTGAGGAGTCCAGCGTGGCCTGATAGTCGATTATAATGTCCTGAAACTCGTTTATCAAGGCACGCTGATTCCCATTTTGTCTGTTTGATTATCATCAATACGTTGGAAGTTTTTGAAATGAAAGTTTACGTTGCCGGGTTAAGTAATTCGTGAACTTACAAGGTTTCAAATGTTTATATTATCAAATGCGTAATCGAAAAGTCTAATTAACGAAGAGTCATGATAACGTGGATACACGTAGGTTTAGCCGGGTAATCCTATGGATATAACGATATGATTATACTATGAATCCTAAAGTTAGAGGGAAACGTACTCACCTCTAACGCAGGGGTTGACGAAACGGATGAACGAACGGCTAACGAACGGACGGACGATGGACAACGAACAAACGAATGGACAGCTTCACGCGTAACCTTCCTTCTCTTCTATCTCCTCGTCTACTCGCTGGAACCTCCTCGCCTGGTTGCTGCTGTGGGTTGGCCGAATGCAATGGAGGGAGAGGAAGAGAGAGAGTTGTGAGAATTGTTATGGTTGAAAGGGGTTACAAATGATGAGGGAAGGAAAATGAAAGGGGAGAAGGTGATTTAAATTGAGGGAGAGTAAATGGAGAATTAAAGGGGAGTAATTAGGTGTGTGTGATGGCGTGTGGATTAAATGGGGAGGTTACCTCCCTAAATTCTATTCCGTTGTGTAAAATCTGACCTGAACGGTACGCGGTTTTTCCCCCCGAAGGGGCTTGAATCGAGATCTGTATGCGTTTCTAGAGTCAGAAAGTCAAAACGAATATTATGACATGATCAAATAATTTTTCTAAGGATTTTATTTTCCCAACCCCGGTCCGAGTTAGTAATTAATTATTTAAATTAATCAATTTTAATAGACCGGTCGCAAGGCGTTACACCTACCATAGTACTACGACTCAAAGAATCACCCACTACGTTGGCCTTACCCGGATGATAGTCAAAGTAGCAATCATGTTGGAACACACTTTACCTCTATGTTCTACTAAAGTGGTATTCGGTTTTGACAGGTTTTGATAAATGCCAAACCGTTGTGGATATGAAAAGACGTTGAACAAACTCAAGGCAAAAACCATGGCAAATTGATCAAGTGAAAATGAGAACCAAGAACGCAGATGAAGACTTAGAAATAGATGAGTCGGTCTTAATGTGATCAAGACCGGCATTGACTTCGTAAACTTGGCTCTTAAAGTTAAAATAATTAAAATGGTTTTCATACATCATTAAAACCATTTTCATAAAGTTTTTATAAACCCAAAACACTTGGCATTCTTTCAAACCAAAAACCACGACGTTCGGCGTTCGGCTTTCAGAAATCGGCATTCTACTTTTGGTTATCGGTGTTAGTTTTTGGCGTCCAGACCAACCAAGTGGTTTTTAACATTTTATGGTTGGTTTTTACTTTTAGGCACATTTAAATAGTTATCTAACAAAAACATGTTAAAAACCACCTTTTGTTTTTGGTCTTTTAGCAAAACCCATGTGTAACGGCATAAACATAGTTAGTTGTGGTTTTTACCTTAATGACGTGGTTTTTAAGATATTTCACTTGGTTTCTTATTAAAATGCATTAAATAAGTGTTTCCAACACTTGGTTTTCAAATTGGAGAACTTTGATTTTTGACATAGGCTTTCGGTGTTGACGAGCTAGCCATAGTTCTAGCAAACCAGCCCAACAGCGATGTTGAGGTTGCACCTGAAAACCATGGTTTGGCAGAAACTTTCCCAACAGTGATATAGGATATTGAACATTTGTAACGCCACAAAATATGGCCTAAAATTTATTATAAAACAAAAGTAGTTTTTATCCAATAAGGAATATTTATACGTTTGACTAAAAATAAATGGATTTTAAAAATAATGACTTTTTGTTAAAAACTTATTTTTATGGATATGTCTCGAAGACACGAATCCAACGGTACATTTTATGAACCAATCTGATTTATAGATTTCAAGTTATGACGATTTTAAATATTAAAATTTGTAACTTTGACCTATAAAATAAACTCAATTCAAAAGTGATTTCATAAGATTAGAAATCTTAATTTTTGACACTTGACAACATCATATTAATCATTTGGATTTAATTCATATATTTTTATATCATTCATATTATTATATTAATTTATGACTAGACAGACCCGAACACTGAGAAAAATAAAAGTTCTCAGAAAAACATTTCGATTACGTCAGAATTCTAATTTTGACAGTCTCATTCCAAAAATACAATCCGTTTTCAATTCGGAGCAGTTTGGGCGAAAAAGCGCGTACCGTTTGGAGTAAACTGTTCAGTTTTGGCAAAAAGCCAAAACTTTAATTATCAAATCTCCACTCAATCACGTAGCTAACCAAATGGATATCCACAATCTCCTTAAATCATTCTCCACTACCTCACTCCATTCCACTATCTAATAACTCCAATTCTTTTCAAATAATACTCCACTACCTCCACCACCATAATCATCATACATCATCACCATCATCTCATCTCCTCCCCATTCTCTCTCGGTAGGCAGCTTCAAGGAGAGAAGAAAACACAGCCCCTCCTCCATAGTTGGTTCAAGGAAGAAGAAGAAGCAAGAAACCATCCAAAGTTTCCAAAATCTTAAGCTCAAAAACGCAGCAGCCACTTTAAGGTAAAAACCGAAATTTTCCATCCATTATCTTGAAATATTTTTGAACCAAATTTCTAGCCCTGGACGATACAAATCCAGTCCAACAAACGGCTTGCGATTTCGTTAAGTAACGAAGAAGATATGGCCAAAATACCGGGACTGCGCCTGTGGTAGCGAGCTCCTCGGGTTGGCTATGTTTCCTCACCATATTAATGTTGTTTCATTCCAAATACTTACCATAAACTCTATAACAATTATTAGGAACATCCAGAAGGTATCGTAGAGAAGGTTCGGTGTTGGAATATTGAAGTTAATGAGTTAATCGTCGGAACCGTTGTTCACCGGAGTATTCAAAAACTCTAGACAGCAACTTTCCCTTGACTTCAGGTCCGATTTACGCTATCTTACATCTATTAACTCGAAATACTTTCTATACGAAAGTTATAGCCTTACATCTTAGGAATCCACAGAATCAAACATGTTGAGATCAAAATACACCAAATCCATAAAGTTAATATACACATAAGTAAATATAAACTATAGAAATCAACCCAACAATATGTATATGTTAATCAAAGGTGTTTAAAAGACTTAAAGAAGTATTTTAGACACTCAAAATATCAAGAGAGAGATTCGCAGACCCAAACGGTCGACGCAAACAGTCAACCGTCGTGTTAAACTTCGAAACGGACCACGACTGTGAGCAGAACGGTCGACCGCCGTCGGCGAACGGTCGACTGCCGCCAGCCCAGCCAAAGTCCATCATCTTCAGCCAGTCAACAACGGTCGACCGTCGGTCAACCGCGGTCGACCATCATGGTGATCCAGAAATCCGACGAGTTGAAAAATAGCACGGTCGACCGCCGTGCTAAACGGTCGACCGTTCCGAGCCCAGTAGCTTATGTAAATGATATTTTAATCATGTTTCACCCAAATAAATTTATGCATGATTATATATTCATATTGTTTACAAATTGTTCATATCATATCATTCATTTCATCATTCATATTGAAGCATATCACATCATATGCATGCGTAAGAGATCATGCCTTGTGCATCTCTTATAGCGTGATTGTGCGGGACTTCACTCCGACATCACACGTTCGGGCTTAGTGTATGTACATGGTATTCAGGCTTTCGAGTACCACCCCCATTTTTCTAGTCTCACCTCATTCGTGAGACTAAGGTGGCGTGAGTTCGTCGTACGACTTGGGCGAATCTCATAGCGCAAGGGTCATCCTTGCACGTTTAGGTTCATACATCATGTTATCATCATCAAGTACAATTATATTGATTACATAGGTGTCATGTAATCATCATCAAGAACAATTCTATTGATTACATAGGTGTCATGTAATCATCATCAAGAATAATTATATTGATTAAATATGCCATCAGGTAATCATCATTAAATATCCATCATCATAAACCATCAACTTGATCATATTATATAATGTGCCATATGATGAATATTGTTATACATTTTTGTGGACATATATATATGTATATGTATATGTCTGTGAATTATTCTACAATTCTAGCGTCGTACTACTCAGCGGTTTCGCTGAGCGTGTAGTTTGTATTTTTCGTTGACTACACGTAGGTAACAAGAAGATAATGATGGAACCACTCCTGGAGGGCATTGAGTCAGATGAGATGCAAGGATGGCAGGCAAATGTTTGATCATCAAGATTTTAAATGTGTCATAATTTGATTATTATTGTACTTCCGCATTACTCCGAAAATATTTTTAAATGGGTCGTGATCCAGAGTCTGTAAATTTAACATTTATAAGTAATTGTCATTTTCAAATGTCAAACGAAATTTTTATTTAACTCCGGTTTCACCTTAATTCGTGTAATTCTGGGTTATACGGATTGGGGTGTTACAACATCGCTGTTACGCGAAGCATAAAACATTCTAATAGCATTTATAACAGCGCTGTATGTGTTACTACATCAATGTTGTGATTAAAGCTAAGAAAAATGAGTTTTGGCATAATGTTTTTCAACAGTGATGTTGGCCTAGAAACATCAATGTTCCATTATCTTCCTTTGGCGGAATAGCCCTGAACAATGATGTTCACTTATGAACATCGATGTTGGCCCCTAACCGTTGGAAGATATTAAAGGCTAAATCTTTCCTTCTTTAGAAGTCAACCCATCTAATAACGATGTTCAGGTTTTGAACATCAATGTTATGGTGACCGTTGAAGCTTCCAATTGGAAAGTTTGACCCTCTACAGCGATGTTCAGGACTTGAACATCGATCTTAGGTCAATATCTTGCAGATCCATTTTTTATTTAAATCCCATAGATGATAACTATGACGATCTGATTATGAGGCTGTTATAAAGATAGAGGCTACGTCTAAAATATCCTTGGTCAAATATTATGAATATACACACATCATAATATATCAAGACTAATATGTATGAGATGACATAGTTGCGTCTCATAAGCTATAGGTACCTAAAATAGGGTCACACACATAGAACATATGATAGTGTAGAATATTAAAATGGAGTAAAATAATATTTATATAATATATTGATATTGTGTGACAATGTATGGATACACACACACACACATTCTATATATATATATGTGTGTGTGTGTATGTATGTATGTATGTATGTATGTATGTATGTATGTATGTATGTATCTGTATGTATGTATGTATGTATACACACACACACATATATATATATTTTATATGTATATGTTTCGTACATATATATATATGTATATATTAAAATGTTATATTCATTGCGGACCAACGTCGTCGCGAGGTTACTTTTGAGGTCGGGGACTATGTTTATCTCAAACTCCAATCGTAGAAGCCGGTTACAGTGGAACCACAGTTGTCCAACAAGCTCGCCCCCCGATTTTATGGGCCCTTTAGGGTGCTTAAACGCATTGGTCTAGTAGCTTACGAGTTGGAGGTGCCAGCGAGTTCTCAAGTTCATAATGTATTTCATGTTAGCAATCTCAAATTACATCACGGAGAGCTCATCTCACCAACCGTACCTCTCCCTACCATCTCAGATGTATCTACTGCAGAACCGCAACCGAAAAAAATCATGGACCGCCAGGTGGTTTAAAAGGGAAAGTATCGGCCTCGACATGAAATCTTGGCTAAATGGGTGGGTGGCCTAGTTGAAGATGCTACATGGGAAAGTGAATGGCTTTTTTGCAAGTCCCGCCCTTCCTTTTCACCTTGCGGGCACGGTGCTTGAGGGAGGCGGAAATGATATGTGTATGGGATGTAGAGGCACTCATGTAGTCACGTATCTTCACTTCTATTTTATTTATTTCTTTTGTTGACTATTTCAATTGTTGAACATTTCTTTAGTGACTTAGTCTTAGTTGGTCAAATAAAGCCACAATCACAATCCTGCATATTTGTAGGAGTTAGTTTAGTAAGTAGTTTACATTCACCATTATGTAAGGAGTGTACTTTTTCCTTTATGGATCATCAGGAAATATATTGAAATTGCCCCACCTCTCTCTCTCTCTCTTTTCCCTTCTTATATGCTTCTTCTTTCATGTTTCGGTTCTGAACATATCAGATGAATAAGAGATAGAGCATAAACAAAAGGATTAAGACAATTGAGACATACTAAAAAAGTGTTAGGCCCCCACTGTAAACAAATGGAAAGAAAAGAAAAGAGAGCACACAAAATATTTAACGTGGTTCGGCACCTCAAGACCTACTCCACGACCCCCTCTAGGATAAAATCTCACTAGTAATTTTTGCACGGAAAAATTACAAACCCTCTCCAGTATTTGACACTCACAACCTAAAATCTAATACACAATTATATAGATTGAAGGATTGTGTTGTGTGTTGGAAGCCTATACACCCTCTCTATTTATAGGCTCCCATCCCTTCTCAATTTTCCTATCCCACCGATGTGGGACTTTGAAGTAACACTCAACAAATCTCCCCTTAATTCAAAGTCCTACATCATTTGTGATTTCTGCAGCGATACTCCCATCTTGCAGAATCTTCTGTCCAGGAGTACTCTTATCTTCAGAAGAGATCATCTTCATAAGTGATCACATTTGTGGAAGAAGCTTCCTTTGATTTGCCCTTCTTCTCCTTTAGGATCTGCAAATCCTCCTTGAGTTCTGGACAACCGTTCTTTGTGTGACCCAAGTTTTCACAGTAATAGCACCTAACAGTGCTCATGTCTCTCAGCTGAGATCTTCTCCCAAGTTGGTCACTCTTCCTCTTCCTCCCTTTCTCAACACTCACAGCAACTAGTAAATTACTGTTCCCGGAAGACTCTTCACCTCCCATCATCCTTTGACTCTCCTTCAAGGCAATCGTCACCTCATCTAGTCGTAGTGTAGTCCTTCTTGCTATCATTGACTGCACAAACGGCTTAAAGGATTTTGGTAGTGAAGCCAGTAGAAGCAGCCCTTGCTCTTCATCCTTGATAGTCTCCCCTGCATTTAACAGCCTTGATACTTGCTCATTAAACTTGTTGATGTGATCAATTACGCTACCTCCCTCTTCCATCTTCAGTGAGTACAAGTCCATCCTCATCATCAACCGGTTAGTAAGTGTCTTCGATGCAAACTTGCTCTCCAACGTTTCCCACAACTTCTTTGGTGATGTCTCTTTCAGCACTGTCACTTTAATCTGTGGGGACAGTGCCAACCGAATTGTGCTGACAGCCTTCTTCAGGATTGTACTCCACTCTCATTCTTTCATATCACTTGGCTTCTCATCTTGCAATGCTAATTCAAGACCTTGCTGGACCAAATAGTCTTGAATCGTGCATTGCCACAACATGAAGTCCGCCCTTCCATCAAATAACGGAACTTCAAACTTCAAGGTAGTCATAGTCCACTCAAGCAGCAATCAACCAATACTAAACAATCCAAATTTGAGGAAACTGGCCTCAAAAATGGAATCAGGACGTCAAAATTAGTCAGAACCAACTTCTCTCCAAAAATCACCAACGGGACCCACATGATGACTGGACCTGCTGACGTGGCGATGGGACCCACTGATGACTGGACCTGCTGACGTGGCACTGACTGGATGATGACGTGGCACTCGGACCCACAAACTGCTGACGTGGCACTCACGGACCCACCTCTGCTGACTGGACCACCTCCTCCTCCGCTGAAGTGGCACTCCCTCCTCTTGCTTCTTCCTCTATTTCCTTCCTCCCTAGACTGCAACTCTGTAATTAATAATTCTTTTCTGATGTGGAAGATCAGTCAAAGCTGCAATCACAGAGCATACTAAGAATTATAATTACCAGATCACCCGGGCTCTGCACCTTGGCTTTGATACCACTTGTTAGGCCCCCACTGCAAACAAATGGAAAGAAAAGAAAAGAGAGCACACAAAATATTTAACGTGGTTCGGCACCTCAAGACCTACTCCACGACCCCCTCTGGGATAAAATCTCACTAGTAATTTTTGCACGGAAAAATTACAAACTCTCTCCCATATTTAACACTCACAACCTAAAATCTAATACACAATTATATAGATTGAAGGATTGTGTTGTGTGTTGGAAGCCTATACACCCTCTCTATTTATAGGCTCCCATCCCTTCTCAATTTTCCTATCCCACCGATGTGGGACTTTGAAGTAACACTCAACAAAAAGGAAAGTGGAAAAAAACAGTGGATACCCTGTAAAAGAAAAGTGGACAAAAACACTAGGATAGAGTAAGTATTTAATAAGAGAAAAAATATTCGTATTATTTTTCAACAATTTTTGGAATTAACTTAATTTAATATAAAAGATCCGATTTGATTGGATCTGATCGATTTGAATCTAATTAGATCTTACTCCCTCCATTTTTTAAAATATTTTCTCTTTCATTTTTTTAACTTTCCCTAAAACACTTCCACTTTATATTAAAAAACAAACTCTACTATACCTTTTCTTCCCTTACCAATCACATCATATTTTTCCACTAATGATCTATCCATCACATCTTATATTTACTCATTACATCAAGGACAAAATTGGAAAGCCAACTGCAAATATACATTTTTTTCACCCATTAGTCCATTTAAAAACGTTTTTTTAGAAACGGAGGGAGTATTTGATTAGATCTGATATGGTGTGATCAAATTGATCTTATCTAATCTAACATCATCCAATATAAATTTAATAATATTAAACAATAAATTAAAAAAAATAAGTTGAGCAGTCCCTTGATACCGCATGCTTGATACCAGTATCAAAATCCAATGATCTATCACATCCACAGTCTTAAAGTCTCTTTTCAACACCCTCTAATCGTGCCTAAAATCACCACCAAACTGTACTTATAGGATTTATGGTCCAACTCATTCTCATTAATTAATGTAAAGTTACTTCTTTTGGTGGAAGAAACGCCTCACCAGCTCCATCTTCTCTCCTCCACATATTCCCTGTCTTTTCTTAATTTTTTTTATTTTCTTTTTTAGCTGTTCTTAATTAATTTTAACATTCCATTTTTAAAGAAAAAATTGTTTGATTTGCATTACTTCTCTCTTTTGCACAAATTTCAACTAACTGATCTTTTGTTGATTCCACAGAATCAATGAGTTGATTGACTCTAAAATCACCCATTGGTGGTTCTAGCAAGAACAATAATAATTAAAAAAACCACAAACTAATTCCAGTTAATTTTGATAAACAGAGTGAACTAGAATGAGCTGACAAAATCTAAACCAAATGCACCCTGAATATCAATAAATGACACAAGAAAAACTTATGAAACATCTACTACACAAGTTTCTTTGATGAACATATATATGGCAAATGAGGTTGAAGATGATAGCTACAAAGAGCATGCCAAATAACTGGTTTGATTAATAAACAAGAAACCACCATAGCCCTTCAGCTTTTAACAAGAGTTTCATGGTAACAAAAAAAAAAAGAAACACTATTAACTAGCAGAACTGTGTATGGAAACCAAAAGAGGCCAATTTCTGTGTATGTAAAACCAGTCTCTCAGTACCAGATTGGGGCTTCTTTCTTGGACATGGATTCTTGTACTGCAGCAGCAGCAGATGAAGAAGAAGATAAAGCCTCAGTGTAATCAATGTTCTGTAGGTTGAATGGAGGCCCAAACGCGAAGGGGAAAGCATTCGAGTTTGCATTGATCGGAGAGTACATGGAACGGTTGGAGCGAATTTGGGATTCGTCGAAGATGTTACCACCCCCCACTGCTGCCATTCCATGGTGACTGTTCTGTTGCTGACACTGAATCGTATTCGAGTTTTTGTTTCGTTGTAAATTTGTCTCGTAGAACGTCATGAGATCATTGATCATCCTCTGCCCATCTTCTGGGACACCAAACCCAGACATATCGAACGAAGGATGATGATGAGGAGGAGGAGATGGGAATGGCGGCACGGAAGAGGACTTGACTTCATTGATGTGGAAATCAGAAACTCCATACCGAACGACAGAGTTTCTGTGAGGGCAACTCAACTGGTGGTTGTCTCTGGATTGTCTGTCCTGAAAACCGAGGCGCATCTCGCTGTGAGGGCATTGAATGAACTCACAAGTGTAAATCTTGTTATCATCCACTTCACCCCCGGCATTGTTGTCTGGCTGCTGCTTCCGCTTCCTCGTGAAATCAAAGTTGTTGTTTGTGATGATCATCTGATGAGGATCACTCCCCATCATCCTCTCTTGTTGGAATCTCTCAGCAATTAGAACATTGTTCATGTTGTTGCTCAACAATAGGTTGTTAAGATTTTTGGGTTTCTCTTCTAGAACATCAAAGCACCCCGCGTCGTCGTCGACGACGCCATCCACGTCGTACTCGCTGACGTCGGGAACAGTGAATATCCCACTGGTCCCACAAGCGGACGACAGTGGTGGACAGCTGTTGGGGTAGAGCTCTCTCGCCAAAGCCTCCTCTTGGTTGACAATGGCAAGCCACGTGGCACTCTCCTTGGCTGTCATCTTGTCTTGCAAGCACTTGGACTGCCTCACGAGTTTGCGAATCTTTGCGATGTCGGGAGACATGTGTTTTATGACAGCTGTCAAGACGCCGACCTTCCAGGCCTTTTTGAGGTCGTGAGGCTTCTTGTAAGGCGGGGGGCCGATGTCCTTTTGTAGGCCCATCTGTGGCCACCACTCCTCCTTCCCCGTGGGCCACCACGGAGGCGGAATGCCTTTCTCCAGAGGAAACCGCCTCTGTGGAGGGTCACAATGCTGCATCAACGCGGACAAGAGGGAGCCGAGGGTGGTGTCTTGAAGCTCTTGGAGGGTGTGCGGAGTGGGTCCAACTTGATTGGCCCCTTCATTCCCTCCGAGAATGGAGGCATTCTCGGCTTGATATTTGGCTATCGCGGCGGGCCCGTTCCGGTCAAACCTCACTTTATCCTTCCACCACTCCCGGAGGTTGTCAGAAGCACCGCTAACGGGTTTCCCTTTCTCCGGGATGATCCCGTAAACGAACCCTTGGGCTTTACACACTTCCATCATCTTCAACATGTACTTCAAGATCCCATCTTGAGCGCGTGACATCTTCTTCCTCCTCGCTTGCTCTAAAGACTGCCGCTGTTTGGCGGGGTCCACGCCTTCCTTTCCCTTACTCATCTCTTTGAGTCTCTTCAACCTCATCTTGTCCCTCCACATCCTCCTCTCCAGTTCATCCACATCAATCTCCTCATCACTGTAGTCATCGTCCTCCACTGCCGGGTCGGTCTCAGCCACCCCAGCAGCAGGCTGGGAAACCCCATCCTCGGCAGCCTCCTTCATCGGGCCTGCAAAGAAATCCAAATCTCCGCAAAACCCCATATCTTCAAACATCATCATTTTGAGGATCTGCAGCTACAAGCCCTGCTTTTATTCTCTGATAATTCAGAGAAATCTTGACAATGAATGGTAGGATATTTGCACCTGCACATACAAGTGTAAACCAGCCTCATCAAGAATTAGAAAGAGATTCGAGAAACCGGTGTGATCCAATCAAAGGGGAGATGAGAAACATCAAACATGTGAAGATCAAAGCAAAAAAAAGCATGGAATTCATCTATAAGTAATTCTAAATTGGCCCCATTTTATTGCAGATAAACAGTCAGATTTCATCAAAAGCAGTCCAGATTCGAGAAAATGTAACAGAAATGCAGGACTTAATTAAAAAACAAATCCAGCCCAACCCATTAAAATCTAAAAAAACAAACAAAAAGAAAAACGAAACACCTGTCTGTTTGGGTAAAGTTCATGAAAAATTAAATCCAAGAAACCTCATAGACTTCCCCAGATCTAAAAAAAGGAAAAAGAAAACGAATGTTGGACCCACACAAGAACCTGCTTCACATCAAGAAGAAAGTGCACAGCTTTGCCTGAGTTTTACCAGATGGATTGGACTATTGGCCGCATCACCATCCAATCCCATATACTAACACTCATAACTCCCAGAATTCAAACGCATAAATGCTTTACCAAACATGCCCATAAAAATCTAATGATGCACTAAAAGCAGCACCTCATGTTTCTATAAATGGATTCAATCCTAAACCCACACAACCATCCAAACACAGCCATTTAAAATAGTTCATAAACATCAAGAAAATCCTAATTTCTACAGTAACTGGAGGAAATTTCAAGGAAAGATCTCAGCTTTAACCAAGAAAACAACAATCCAATCAATGGGGAAAGAAAACAATGAAGGAAGCTTAATCAAAGAGGGGTCTTTTACCCTTTAACAAGTGTTTGGGTGCAAGGGCCTGTTCAACTCTTCTCTATCTCCTCATAATAATACTCCTAAATAATAATTGACCCTTAACTGGAGAGCTTATAAGCGGACAGGGAAGAGACGCAATGAAAGAAAACATGAATGGAAGTTACACATGCACTGTTTCTAAGTCATAAATAATTGGAGAATAAATGAAATATCTAGATAGAAATAAAAAGAAATAATAAATGAAATTTTTTACGGAGTAGTAAGATAGATAAAAGAAATACGACATAGTAATACAATGAAATAAAGTACTGTATTAAATATTCTTAACAAGGTAAACTACATTATAATTTTTATTTAAGTGAGACCTCAAATTCACCTATTTTGACTCAAAAAAATTAAATTAGATGAGTAACTGAGATAAAGATAGTATTTCTTGTTTGAAATAAAGTAAATAAATTTTTTTTAGAAATTTAAAAAAAATAGGTAACATTTAGAGAGTCAAAGGAATAAATAAATAACATGGGGAGTGGTGGCAGTAACAATAATAATAATAATAAATCACTCTAAATAAGAATAAAACATGGAAAAAATATCAAAATGGAAGTTATATATTTTTATTTCCCAAAAAGAAGTATGCATTGTGGTAATGTAGGATTGTATATAGACATTTTACAATACCTTTTAAAAAATCTCTCTAGATAGAGGTAAAAAAGTATGGAGATGCCAAAATAGAAGTATAATTATAGTGGTGTAAGAGTACGCGTTTGCAGTGTAATATCCTAGTGTGAACAATCAATTATCGATGATCTGCGGTGGCACTCTGGTGGTCGGCGGCGACGGATGCCAGTGCAGCAGTGATAGTGTGTCAGTTATAATGTGACAATATGGTGAGTGTGGGAGTGTTAAATCCTATTTTGGTCTTAAAAGTCTTATTACTCTTATTTTGATATTTTCATAATTTTTTACTCCTATCTAAAGATTTCTCCCATATTTTTTTGGTAATTTTTATGATCATGATGGATACTTTATACGCATTTTAACTCCTATTTCAAAAATAAAAACATAAGATATCTATTTTGAGATATTTTTAATGTTTTACTCCTACTTTAGTTTATTTTCCATAATAGTACTCCTTCAGTCCTAAGAAAGACTAGCGAATTTGACTTTTTTGGATCAAATTACGTAATACTTTTATCATAAACCAAATATATTTTAGATTAAATGATTAAATATTATAAATATTTGATATATCAAAATTTTAAAATTATTCTAATTTTATTAAATTTATATTATAACTAAATATACACTTTTTTTTCAATTTGTGATCAAACTTTTTAGGAGGAAGGAATACTCTTACTATAATTTTGGCGGTGGTGAGTGGGTGATTAGTGAGCTAGGACAAATGTGTTGGCATTTTTGGCGAGTCCTAAGCCAATAGTCGTTTTATGCCATCCCATGTCTTCGGGGTAAGGGACAAAGCCGGGAAATATTTTTGGGAAAAAATGATAAATGTGAGAAAAATTATTAATCCGTACAAGATTTTAAGTAAAAAAAGGTCGTGATAATTTTCCACGGTAACATGGCAACATGCAGCGCAGTGCAACACTGCTCGGTGCTATTACATCATTTCCTACGTAAAAAATTGACTTTGGGATATACTTATAAAGTATTTCATCCTTTCCAATTTACTGCTCCGTTCCAAAATTATTTACACTTTTATTATTTAAGTTTTCCAATAACTTTTTCTTTACCTAAGTATTTTCAATGTTCGTTTGATAAAATAAAATATATTATTGTCGATCACATCTTGTTTTATATATAGAACTTTCGATGTACTCTTTGAATATATAATTTGTGTTGCTCGAAGAGTGTAAATGATTTTGGAACGGAGAGTATTTATGTGTACGAGAATTCTAGTTTCATTATTTTATTTCTGTTTATTAGGAGAATAGGAGGTATCACCCTATAGAACAGCTGAAAAGATCTTGTTCAAGTAAGGTACATATGAAGTCGTTATTTTTTGTTTGTGATATTTGATTAAAGTTTTTTTAAATTTATTTTTTTAAGTTTTAACAAAAAAAATTAAAAAAAACTTATCATTTACAAAAACAGATATTTAAAGATTTTTTCCAAACAAATTAAAAGGTGATATGTCTTTGTTATTTCAATTTATATATGAGTTATGTAAATATATAATTTGACTAGCTCTATGTATACAAATCACATGACCTTTTGTTTGAAATCGATCTATGGCGTAGTTGGGATGGGAATAAAGGTTTTCGATTGAGAATTGATCCCTTGATCTCGTGTATAAAATGTAGCTTAGTTATCAGCTGAGTTCTTTTGAAGTTTTGCACTATTTTTTTGTTCAAAAAGTTATGAAAGAAATTAAAGAAAATGCTATCGAAACCAAAAAAAAGTCAAAGAAGCCAAAATTTTTAATCTTGTTTGATTAGTACTCCAAAAAATTTATTTTTATAGCTCTCAAATCCATCAATACTCCAAAAAATTTATTCTTGTTTGTAGCCAAAAATTCTCACTGATTTCTCTACAAGTTGCGTTGGGCCTTTTTGTGTGAAAGTCCGGCTGCACTAGAGTATTCCATAAGAATTCTACAAGAGTTGGTAAACTACGTATATACTCCCTCCGTCTCAGAAAATCTTTCTCCTTTCTTTTTTCATTCGTCCCAAAAAACACTTCTCATTTCTATTAAAAACTCACTTTTACCTCTTACTTTTTCATACCCTACCTATCACATCATACCTTTTTACTAATAATCTATCCATCAAATCATACTTTTACCCATCACATCAAAGGACATTTTTGGAAATTCAATACCAAAATACACTCCCCTTAAATCCTTCTCCAAAACCAAAACTATCATTTTTCCGGGACGGAGGGAGTATGTATGTGTGTGTGTGTGTGTGTGTGTGTATATATATATATATACTCCCTCCGTCCCCCATAGATCTTCTCATTAGCCCTTTTTATTTGTCCACCATAGATCTTCTCATTACCTTTTTTAACACTTAAAATACCACAACTACCCCCACTTACTTTATTTATTACATCTCACCTACCTCATTTAATACACTCCACCCATTTTCATTAAGGGTATTATGGTAAACTTTCACCTTTTTTCAACTCTCCTAAAAAACCACAAAAAGTCAAAACGAGAAGATCTTAGGGGGACGGAGGGAGTTATATATATATATATATATATATATATATAT